TTACAGCTGATGAGTACTTCAATATCCTATTTTACTGTTCTCTATTCTACGAGGGAGAACTAAGAGTACAAATTAATGACGATAAAATAAAATTAGTTTTAATTTGGAAGCGAGAGAATGAAAAAGGGACGGTGAAGTTGATTGAAATAAATATTGGGACCATTTCGATCTCGCATTTTAGGTAATCTGTGTTGAAGTATTAGTAATTCTGCGAAAGGAGAATATTATTATTTAAGTGAGAAATCGGAATTCTGCATTGTAAAAACTGCAAAATAATGTTGAAAACGTTGCGTACAATAAAAAATTTTTATTATTCAGACTTTATGTAATTATAACAAGTTTTCTGTTTGTAAATGCAATAAAATTTTGAATGGTTCCATTATTAAATAAAATGTAAAAGAAATTTTCTTTATTAGTTTTTTTTTATAGCGCAATCAACTGATACTTTACTTAATTTTTAATGATATTTAGTGGTATTTATTTCCGAACCCGCATCTGCACGACAAATAACTGTTGAGAACAATGGATTATTGAATGAAAATAATATTGATTATTTACGGATAACAGAAACTTCTATCTGTGACACTACATATCTCTATATGTAAATAATGGGCTCAACTTCCGAATAGCTCCTGCCTCCGAATTTGATGAAACCTGCAGGAGTTGTTGACTATTAGAGGACACGTTCATACCATAAAGGATTTTGTACGGTAACAAATAGGAACGGAGAAATTGGCGTCAAAAATTCAAAATTTGGTAAATGTCTACAATTAAGGCTCCAACGAGAAATTAATTGAAAGGAGGTAAACTTTATGTATTTTTGCTCCTCGAATCCAAAACTGTTGATAAAATTTGAGGGTCGCTTGTATTTTTTAAGATGTCGTTAAAAAAAAGAGAACCGTGAAATATATATCAAAGTACATGTATTGGCGGGGGGGGCTTCGCCCCCCCGCACCACCTCATTGTGTAAGTAAACCTACGAGTGTGGGGGCGGGGGGGGCTCCGCCCCCCCGCACCCCGTGCACCTGGCGGTGTGGGTTGGGCAGGGGGGGCTTCGCCCCCCCCCCGCACCCCCCCTCCTATTTGTTTCCGTACAAAATCCTTTATGGTATGAACGTGTCCTCTAATAGTCAACAACTCCTGCAAGTTTCATCAAATTCGGAGGAAGGGCTATTCGGAAATCTTACCAAATAATGTTACCGAAATGTAATATATATTAGAGGTTATCCCTCAATGTATATAAATTTCGCTCTTAAAAATCTTTTAGATTAAAGATACGCATACGAATAAGAGTACGCACTCAATAAACTTTTGCCTGTAACAAACATTTATTTAAAGAAAAACATAATTATTTTACATATAAGTAAGTTAAGTAACTTGCAAAGATAATGATAATAAATAACTTTATATACTAATATAAAAAAATTTGTATTAAGAAAAGTATACAAATCTGTAAATGCATACATTTATCCGATAAAGTGTCAAAAAGTAGGGGAGACCGGGGCTATTCGTGACACATTTTCGTTTCGAATTTTTTTGTCGCTTCGTATAAATGTTAAAAAATTTTTTATTAGTGCGATGTAATCGTCCATCCTTCTAGTTTAAAAAAAAAATAATAATAGGTTTATCCCTCACGAATCTCGAAATATATTAAGAAATGTATTGCTATGTCATGTGTCACGAATTACCCCGGCCCCGGGGTAATTCGTGACAGGCCACGGGGTAATTCGTGACACTTTCTCTGATTGAACAAACTATATGAATTTCTTTCGTTTTTGTAATTTTTATCTACTTTGTATTTTGAAAAATCCTTTATTTGTTAGAGTTTACATATTATATGCTGACCTATAAAAAATTATAAGGAAATAAGTAGGTAACATTCAATTACGGGGAACTTTTCGAGGGCGTCCACGGCCCCTGCGAACTGGTTCTTCCTTTGAATGCCTATTTGTGGTGTTTTTGGGAGCGTTTTTTGTTGCTTTGCCTTTTTTTCTTCTATCAATGTCCAATTTGCTTAAAGCCACGTCGGTTCATAATTCTTTCTGGAGTTTGTACCGTAGTTATGCCTGTCTCATCCATGTTATAGATAGAACGTGGATTAAGTTGAAAACGTTCGTATATAGTTTTCAAGTTCTTGAAGAACTCAGCGACAGTAGTACGATTAAAAGCTGTAGCACGAGCGAGACTTGTTGCTTGCGGCTTTCGAATTGAGAGATTCGGATGGCGTTTCAAAAAGTCTGAAAACCAGTTCTCTCCAGCGATTTTTCGTTCGTTCCAGGAAGGCGGTATTGACAAGTCAAGACGTTTTCCGTATTCGTAAGCTAATTTACGAACTTCCTTTGCCGAGAGTCCGAAATAAATGTCTGATGAATGTAAAATATAATTTATCAACACTCGTTCATGATTGTCACTGATAACCTAAAAGAATTTTAATTTTATTCTTATTTGCTTTATTCATTAATTTATTTATGTATTCATTGTTTATTGTACATTTATCAATCGATATATGAATTTGAAATTACCGGTCGCATTCCAAGACGAGAAATCGTCACGTTTTCCTCAGAAACGTTGTTTAGAACAGAGACACATTGACGATTCAAGGCCATCCTCCCGACATTAAAGCGTATTGCTGCTTGTCTCACTGAGTAGTTTTCATTTTTTACAGCTAAAACTGCTTTTCGGAAATTTTCCGTGTCCACAGCAGCTGTCTTACGAACGTAATTGCGCACCACAACCTATTGAAAACAAATATAAATGAATCAACATGAAAAGCAAAGTGTCACGAATTGCCCCGGTTGCTCGTGTCACGAAATGCCCCGATGTGGTTTTTCCTCATTCATGAACCGTCACTTACAAATGAGAAAGAATAGCATAAAATCTACTTATGCATTATGCTTAGTGAAGTCGAGTGACTAAATACAACTTACCGTTTCGGATCTCTTATTCTTATATTCGACGAGAAAACAAATTTTCGGGATTTGGAAAATTTCACTTTCAGCACTTGAAGTCAGACTTTCTGTCACTGCGAGATAAAATTAGTTGACACGCAAATGCCACTCCGTTGGTACCTAGAAAACACTAAGAGACATATCGGTAATAATTTCGTCCGCCAGTGAATAAAATCAGCAAATTCAATTTATTTCTCGATTAACTGGCGCAATATATACAAAAATGCACAACGTTTCGGCTCAAGATTCGAGCCCTTTTCAAGTGCGAACTGAAACAGGAACAGCGAGAAAAGGGCTCGAATCTTGAGCCGAAACGTTGTGCACTAAGAGACATCTATGATCGATATTACAGGTTTCTAGCAGCAAGCATTTTAAAGTTAGGCCCGCGACAAAATTTCAGCAGTGTCACGAATAGCCCCGGTCTCCCCTACTCATGATGTCAAAATAACCGAAATAAGCCTCATGACACCATCAAATACAAATTCCACAAAATATAGTCATCTTCAAAATTTTCATTGCATCCTGGACAAAGAATTTTATTTTATCAATGTTTCTTTCTTTCATCGAGAAAGTATATTACTCTTTCTCGTCTCTGCTGCCTTTTATATTTTCTTAGTTTACTTTCTTTTATTTGGTAACTTATTTTTAAAGATGGAAATGACGTATAATTTCTGACTTCTTCGACGACGTTTTTTAGTTTCCAAATTTTATTTTGGTAGCCGACTTATATCAAAAACAGTACCATCAACAAAAAAGTTTATATTTTTATTATCATTAGAATCACTTGATTCTTTTTATCAATTTCAAATTAAGTAACGGCTTTCAAATTCACATGCGAATTAAAGCATGTATTTTGCGATCTAAAATCGTGCTTTTCAGCAAGATCAATCATTTCTGTCGGCGCAAAGCTGTCATCATTAATGAATACTTATTTTTAAGTGATGAAATAACCAGGTTTTTTTACGTTTTTTATACTAAAAGTTTTTTATGTTCTAGTTGCATCAGGAGGCTAAAACTTCATAAGAACTCATCGATCAATGAATAGATTATTTTAGCACTATTTTTAGACAGATTGACCTAATCAGGAAGAAAAAATACTTTCACATGATGGTTTGTACAAAATTGGAAATAATGTAGAAATAAGTTATATTTGTGTTTATTTATGTTCATATTTTATTTCTATTCCATTACAATGTCAAAATATATAGTACAATGTTTAGGATGATTATGAGGAAATTTGAATAGAGTAATAGCACGTTAATTTGCTTATGGGATGTTCATCGCACACTCCCTTATTGTTGCAAGTGCAATGCTTCCTTGTTTTCCTTTACTTTCCATTCAAATCGCGGCAAACATATTAGCTGTCGACAACTACATGTCTAGCAAGCTGATTTTGTAACTCTCAACAGTTTCGTTATCGTTATATTGTTGTTGCGCAAATATTATACATGGTAAGAAAGCAGCGCAACGACAATATAACGATAACGAAACTGTCGTAAAGAGTTATAAAATCAGCCCGCAGTTGAGTCACGTCTTTGGGCAGTAGAAAAACTTGCATATTCTAGTAGTCCAGTCAAATTAGACAAAAAAAGGCTTTTGCTCGGAAGTGAAGCGGTATTTATGAAACCTTTTTAGGATTATTGGGGGGATGTAGAAGAGCTTATTTCTGAGTTGTCGGGTTAATCGGACCGATGGATTTTTAAGGGGGGGAGGGGAATAAAAAATTTCGTTTTTTCGCAATAACTCGGCGAATTTTGACCGTACATGATTGATTAACCTCTCATTTTGTAGCTTTTTTAAAGCCCTACAATTCATTTCGTGAA